CACACACACACTCACACACACTTGGAGGACGCCAAATAATGTTTACATCCCGCTCTGTCTCAAGCACGAGCCTCTCGTTCATGAGTAGATGCACGTTCTGCAACGGAGAGAAGGCCGACATCTCTCAAACTTAACAACTCACACCAAAACAATCTGTCCCTTTAATATTTATAATAAATAAAATCACAATCAGTGTCTCTGACTGTGTCTCTGACCCCACAGACCACTCAGAGTGTGATAGCGTTCGCCATCGTCTTGAAAAGCAACACGAGTCTTCGCTGTGTCGATATCAGTCGGCCTCTGCTCTTCAGCCACCAGGTACAAACACACAGAGCCTCTCATGTTAAACAGGTTCAGTGTCTGATATCCATCCTCTCCAACCTGAAGCTCTCTCGCTCTGTCTCTCAGGAGGAGTGGGCGGTGCACTTCTCTGAGATGCTGGCGGTGAACAGCAGCCTGGTGGAGCTCCACCTGGGGAAGATGGGGATGAGCGACACGGGGATGGAGAGGCTGACAGAAGGTCTGCGTCTCAACCACAGCCTGCGCTACCTGGACCTGAACTGGTAAGAGCAAAAAAACTCCACGTTTCATTCCTCTGGAGTGAAAACTAACCTCCTCCTGCCCTCGTCCCTGTTGTCTGCAGTAACCGCGTGACTCGTGACGGCGTGCGGCATCTGGCCGAGGTCCTGAAGCAGAACCCGACCCTGGAGATCGTCGACCTGTCGTGCAATCGGATTGAAGATGAAGGCGCTGTGTACCTGAGCGAGGCCGTCGCCTGGCCAGGCTGCGTCCTGAGAGAGTGAGTCCAACTCCACAGCTGGACGGCACACTGGACCTTTAAGAAGTGTTTTTACTCAGGACCCCCATCACCTTAGTTTGGTCAGGGGTTGTGAGCATTTTCCTTCTCAGATTTGCCTCATTTGAAGGACTTTTATAGGAAATGAAGAGGAAAGAAACTTATTTTACACTGTTCTGGATCACTAAATCATAATCTCTTATCAGACTCCACACGAGACATACAAACACTGTCCCTGTCTGTCTGTCTGTCTGTCTGTCTGTCTGTCAGGTTGTCTGTCAGCAGTAACAACATCAGGACGGAGGGTCTGCTGTCTTTGGCTCAGGCTATGAGCGTTAACACATCTCTGAACCACGTCTACATCTGGGGAAACCACCTGGAGGAGCCCGTCTGTCAGGTAACGACCTTTCTGAGCTGTAACAGATTCACAGTCTGCCTCATCTTACACTGAACTTTAATTCACCCGTTCCTTCAGGCCTTCAGAGAGCTGGTCGCCAGCGGCCGCCTGCCTCCGGAGCAGACGGACGTTAGCGCCTACGAGGTGGACGGTCGAGTGTTTCTCTCTGAGGTCTTCAACAGTTTGAGGAGACACTATCACGGCTCCGGTACCGACACATCCCGCACCTCCGACACTGCGACAGACCACGCTTCCAGCCACGACTCCACCTTCCCGCCATACGTTGAGAGTCGGCAGCTTGTTCCCCTGCAGCCCTGCTAGAGTCTCGTTAACCTCCTCACATTACCCAGAATCCCAACAGACCGAGACTTAAAGACGGACTGAAACAAACACACGTCAAAAGTACAAAAGTAAATAAAAGAATGCAAATATTCCAAAAGAAAGAAGTCGTGAAACTTTGTTTTTTAATTAAAGGTGCCTCCAAAATGAACATTGAAACGTTTAGTGCATAGATTTAAAAGTAACCTGTGTATTCATGTTGGACCATTCAAGTATTCCATAAGTGCTTCATCATATTTTATAAAACTGGGTGATAACTCAGCTGTATGAAGAGTTTTTTTGATGTAAATGCAAAACATCAATTTGAGAATACTTTACATATAATACATATAGATATCAGAAACATATTTAAATCTTTATGTTAATTCAAAACACATCATAAACATTCTGTTTAACCAAATAATTAATAGTAGAACTTACGTTTTATAAAAGTAGCTGTGTAACATGAATATGAATATTGATCTACAGTTAAAGATTGTTCTCAGATCAGAGACCATAACTAACGAGTAAACAAGAATTCCTCCCTTCCTTAGTTACATATCAGCACATTTGTTCTGTACGTCGTTATTTGTTGGTTTTTTATTTGAGACTGTTCAATTTTGAAAATTTTCAAGTTCTAGAAAATACCAAAAATGTTTTTCATATATCATCATCAAATCATCAAATAAAGGCAATAAAAAGCCAGAAAAATAATCTTAGTATAAGAACAAAACAATTTGTTTCTCTCGTTAACTTCTCCTGTTAGAAGGTGCAGTAATGATTTTTAATTCAGGTGTCCTTCATTAGTAACATATGATGCCTTCAGGATCCTCAGGATTTCTAATCCTACTCCTCTGGGCTCTCCTGATTGGTCGCTTTGAATGGCGATGCTGCGTCCGTATCCCACTCCAGCAGGACGCTCCTCTTCCTCAGGCGGTGGCTCAGCTGCTCTCTGTCCTGAGAGCTGACCGTCCACCGCTGCGCAGCCAGGCGAGCCAGCGCGGGCAGTCGAGGCAGAGCGCAGACCAGCTCCGGCAGCCAGGCCGAGCAGGGTGCAGAGGTCAAAGGTCGTAGGCTGAGGTCAACGTCCTCCAGCGAGCCCAGGCCTCCTGCTGCAAACAGCGCAGACCAGCCAGCGTCGCCTACAGAGCCGTTGTAGGACAGATCCAACACCCGCAGGGAGGACAGACAGCCACGTCTGCACACGGCGGCTGCACGGGGAACCACGCAGAACTGTTTCTTTACTATTTATAACCAGTATGTGTGTGTGTGTGT